CCCCCCCACCCCGTTCCACAATACCAAAAGACAGGGAAGGAAAAAGTCATGCTTATGGAGAGGAGGGCATGACAAATGCATGCATTTGAGCACGTGTGCTGTAGTTCAAGGAGAAAATAACTTTCTAATTTTTACTTTCTTGTACACTATTGGCTGTGTTTTTGTTTGCAATTTTGACAAGTTTATTAACTAAAAGCAATCACTGTGCACAGTCAGCAACAAACAACTAAAACAACACATGACACTAATCTCATTATTCTACTGCCCGTACTTGAAGAGCTCCTGTGCTTGTCTCGCAGAACCTCGTACGTCGGGTGCTGCTCCAGCCACCTGTGCAGATTTTTCTGCGTTGGAGCCTTGCTGCCTGTCAGCGTTTTGCCCGTCTTGCGTTCTATCACGTCCACTGGATCTGATGATGACCAGATCTGGTTCTTGGATGAAGAAGATGAGGATGATGACGGCTTCTCGCTACTGTCCGACGATGACTTCTGTCTTTCCAGCATCTTTGGAGACATAAAACACCAGTGACTTCACCAGCAACCTTATCGCCAGCCAAGGGCTACCTTGTACTAAAACACATTCCTGCCTTTCCCTAACATGCAATATCACAGCTGCATTTTGAACAATTCTTGATAACAAAAGTGAAAGAGAAAAGAGGCTAAGAACTGTCGGTTGACCCTACCCTAATCACTATATCTAAAACACACTTGAAGCTTTTCCAAACAATGAACCACAACCAGACTCCAAATGGTCCTTGGTAAGATGAAAAGGACACAACAACAACAACAACAAAACACACTTGAAGCTTTTCCAAACAATGAACCACAACCAGACTCCAAATGGTCCTTGGTAAGATGAAAAGGACAAAAGAAAATAATAAAATCAAATACTTTACAATGAAAGTTCCATTACTTTGAAAAAAGAATTACATTTGAAACTGAAACAGGCATTTATTTTTGCTTGCTTGAGTAAAGCTGTTGAATGGATTATCACTTGATACTCAAATTGCCTGAAGTCAAATTAGGACTAAGGGTTCAACAAAATCATCAGTGTCCGACTCTTACTGTGTACTCGCCAAATTAGATAAAACACTTTATAAAATCTCAAAATATGTTATAAACCACCATTGTTACAATTGGTGATACTGCTATGTGTAAAAAGAACATATTACACCGAATTTTGAGCAATTCTGGAGGATAAAACAAAAGAAATTACACTTTTGGCACTTTTCTGAAAATCAATATTCACATTTATAAACGGTTAGATTCATGCATGGACTATATGTACTTATTGCTAAGACTTGCAGCAGCACAATTCATATTTCTCATCCATTACCTTTTTCCTCATCTGCTCCTCCCTGATAGATTTCAGAGAGTCCTGGGCATGGGCCATGATGCACTCATTACTACAGTACACCGACCCTGACCTTGGAGCCCTCTCACATTTACGGCCAACGCACTTCGGAGCAGGCTTTGGTTTGCTGGGAGCAGGTGGCACTAGAACCTTTTCCGTAGGTTTCGATACAGCAGGGGACGTGGCTTTCTCCTGAGCTGCAGGGCTCCCTTCTCCCTCTGAAAGAATTTTTGTTGTTGTTTTAGTAAGAGTTTTACAGCACTTGCAACACAATAAGGTCATAAATGTCCCGAAGATTTGAGGAGTTACAAGTGAGTAACAAACACAAAAAAGGAGGGGAGAAAAGGACGAAAGATGTTTGATAAAAAAAAAAGAGGAGCAAACCACACCAGAGCACCCACCAACCACCCGCAAAGAATTTTTAAATTGGAAGGACAATAGTAAAACTCTGTAAAAACAGTGGAAGGAGTAGACCAAAAGAACAGCCAAATTTTTATTTTTTTATTTAGTTTGTTGAGTTTTAGCAGACTTTTTATGGTGCTCGCAACTGCATAAGTCATATAAGCGCCAAGGGGTGGATGTCAACAGAAGAGTCCATACAGGGAATCAGGCTTACTCTGTTCACCTCTGTAACTTCAACAGCACAAAGTCTGCCTTGACTATCCAGGCACCCAAAAATAGTGGGTCACAAGAGAGTAACATACATACAAAAGAAGTAGAGGAAAATGACGATAGTAAGGATATTAGGAAAGAAAAAGCAGCAGTTCCTGTATGCAGTTCAGGCACAGTTATGAGGATGACATTGATGAATCAGCCCATTTACAATTCTACAGAGCATAAGAACATGTTAATGTCCCCCCTTTGGGAATGATAACCTAAAGACACTTCAGTCACTAGCACCGCCCCCCCGCCCCCCCACCCCCGGGAGTATGATTTAGTTAAAGTTTTACTGCACTTGCAACACAAATATGTCATGCAGGTGCCAAATTACAGGTGTCAATAAAGTAACATTAAAAGAAAAAAAAAAGGATGCAAGATATGGTCGATAGATGTTTGATAAGAAAGAAGGAACAAACCACACCCAGAGCACACTCCAACCACCTCCACAGCCACATTTTGCGGCTGACAAATTAAAACAAGAATGACAACACTAAAGCCCCTCCCCCCCCTCCTCCCCCTTACTTCCTAGCCGCCCTAAACCCAATAAACACCCCACCCTATAGCAAAAAATGAATCATCTAATAATCTAATAATTTCCAGAATTATCTTGAAATGTGGCACCCCAATTAAGCTTCTTCTGAAGACTGGAACCCAGGTAGAAGGCATGAAAAGGTTCTTTCCATAAACCAATTCAACTTTCACAACAGCAGATAGAATTTCCTCATGCCCTTCTATGATTGGTCAGATACTCTGTTCTAAGACAGTTAAACTGTTCACTGACCTCCCAAAGGTAACGATATTATTCCAATACCTTACAGTTGTCATGACCAAGATGGATTCACATAAAAAGAAGTTGCATGAGCAAGAAGAGATTTTCAAGCAGCCACCAAGTGGGTACTGTGCCTCTTGTGCACCTCTGGCAGTCAGTTTGCTAATGATATTGTAGGGCACAAATTTTAAACAGTTGCACTCAGACAGCAAGAGGCTGGCCGTGGGTGTCAGTAATAGAGGCTTGTGGTATAACAGGGAGCAGTTTAATGGAGTTTGACCGTATACAGCCATCAAGACTAATGAAAGAACACAAGCTCTCAACGCTTTACAAATACAAGTATCAACACATGAACAGTCCATTGTGTTCCGACTAAAAATCTAAACAAAAAATCTAAACAAAACTCTTTAATTTAAAAACAGAAATGACTTGAACCGACTTTTGATATTTAGTACCAACTTACTCAGACATATGGGGCAGACATAATCCTCTTCATTCTCCTCCATCTCCTTCCCCCGTGCCCTTGTGATGCCCACACATGTGCCGTGATACCACTCCTCGCACTTGTCACAGCAGATCATGAATCTGCGCAAGCCACAGAAGGAAAAAAATTTGTTCAAAGAACAATTATCTATCAGAATAATTCATGATCATAGAGAAAGATTTTTTTAAACCCTCCCCCCTACCCCCTAAAAACAACAAAAACCCAAGACATAGATGACATTACATTGCAAACAGAGGTGCCAACTGAACTTTCTGACCAAATGAAAATGAGACTTAGAATTTATAGAGTGTTTTGTCAATACATCTTGAATCAATCTTCCTTCATAAAAAGTGCAATATGGTATGCACACAAAGATATAACTCTTTGTCTACGACAAGCCGCTCCCGGTGAACCGCTGTGGCGTGAGCGCATTCTTTTACGACGACTTCGACATCAAATTACTTTTTGGCAATTGCTGAAAACAGGTCTCATATACCGAAAGTTCATTCATTAGATGAAGAACTATCGAAATAGGTTAGCTAGTGTTGATTTAATGACCCAATTAAAGTCATTTTTAGATTTAGCCCCAAAAAGGGCCCCAGCGTAGTGGGTTTACCCCCCCCTCGGAGATAAAGAGTTAAAATATGGATAGGCTGGGCAAAATCCAAACATTTAAACCCACATTTCCAGATTTATCCAGAAAACCTTCATCTCTAAACAGTAACAAAATTTTTAATTTTACTTTATTTCCCTTAGGACAAAGACAGAAGACACCACAAAATTAACTGAATCTTATTGTTAATATTGTATAAAGATTATCATCTTGGTCTCCTCATCACTGCAGATTGATTAAACATTACAAGCTGAAAAGACTTAACTCTTTGAAGACATGTCATCCGCTGACAGGGAAACCTACCGTTGTCGTCAGGTCAGAGGAAAATACGCTGACGATTTCAATGTGTTTATTTGCTAAACTAGAGGTCTAATGTGGACAAACCCTATATCATTGGAAAGCTTGTCCAAAACCCTATAATTTGGTTGATTTCCTTTATTTGCTTTCGAATTAGGATAGCTTTGCATGGCGTTTGTTTTAGGTCCATTCTTTCTCACAAAATGGCGAGCTCCAGGCAACGTGGTTTAATGCGGACTGAAGAAAGCTTAGGAGTTGTTTATGGATGATGGCAGTGATGAGGAGTTGGATTTGAGTTAGAACAAGAAAGTTCAGATGATAGTGTTGATGAATCTGTACCATTGGTAGGAAGATCTAGAGCTACCCAACCCCCAAGTCTCATCTTGTCAAAGTTGTTTTTCTTTTGAGGGCAACTATAGTGATCTTGCAGCCTTGGTCAAGGTCAGACTGGTATTGTGAATGTATGATTGCTTGGTATTAGAGAAAAATACAGAAATTGTACTTTTTAGAGGTATAAGTGCGATTTTTGTACTGTTGATAGGAAAAAAATGGGGACCTGGTAAAAAAGGGCAAAGAAGGTGCGTCACAGGGTATCGAAAAACGGAAAGTGGGCGTGTTTTCAAAGAGTTAATGAGGAAACAAATATAAATGACTTCAAAAATATTCCTTAAAATCAAACAAAAACAAAACAAACAACAAAAAACATGCTCTGAAGAGGTAAAGTAACTGTTAAACCTCAACATGAACGATGACAATAAAGCATTCTCATTAACAAAAGATTTCTTTTTGGCGTCTGTGGAGTATTGGTTAGGTGCTTTGCTGACACTTGCAGAAGACCTGAGTTCAATTCCTGTGACAGGAGATTTTTTATCGAGTATCTCATTCTTTCTGCTAGGGCATTGCATCCCTCTCAACCTGGATTGTCCCTAACAGCGACAGTTGAAGCCCAACTCCTAAATTGTTTCCTCCATGGGGCGTAAAAATACCTAAATTACATTCATTTTTTTAATAATAAAAATTCAGAGATTTTTTTCACCTGTTGTTGTGAGGCTTTTGGCAAATGCAGTACAGAGTGTCCGGATCATTTGGCTCCCAGTCAAAATCATTCTCATCATCCTCAAAGGCAACGTCTTCTTCGTCACTGTCTCCATCCTCCTCTTGTTTGCCATCTTTCTTGCTTCCTGGAAAGACATAAGAGATTTCAAAATCAGTACTCTGACTTGGGACAGTACATGAAGATATAGAAATGAATGGAAAAAAATATGAAAAAACTTTGAAGGAACATCCAATTATTCTCATGTCATCTTCTGAGAATGCACATTCAAGCACTGAAAAAGAAGCAAGTGAAACAAACAAAATGAAAAAGAGGGGACATCAATTTTTTAACTTAAACGTGCATTGACTGCTCAGTGTAAAACTCCATCATAAGTCACTCTTTTCAAAAAGATTGATGGCAGAGTCTTATTATACTAAGTAGTCGATATATATTATATATGTATAAATAAAAACACCAATCAAAGCTCCACAGGCACAGTCAAGCAACAAGAACATTATGTGTACTGTTGTGTGTCCTTCAGCACGATTTGTTAACCTTAGCAGAAAATATGACAAATATGGTTTCAGTTCGTGATGTTTACACTACTGACTGTGATGCAAGTCAGTGCAGAAAAAATTTCCCCAAAGCCGGTCTATACAGTAACATTATTTTTACATACCACTAAGATGAAGACAAGCATTACAGCTGAAGCTGAATTGCAAGAGGTAAAAGATGTTAGTTAGAGCCAAACTTGACAAGCCACCACAAGTCATACTTTTCAACCCTCTACACTTCTACCCCTTGATTTTCACAACTCAGGGGACGATGACTTTCAAGTGACATCTAATTTACGCTAAATTGTCCAAATATTGCAAATACACCAGCGTATCTCCGAGTCGTTTACGATAAATAAGCAGTGTAGGACTGATGGAAACATAATTCTTTTTAAAATTGTATGCAATTCAGATCAGCATTTTTCAATAAGTTAAACAAATAAGAGGGCCTCGATTTTATTGGAGTGCTATAGCTGTCTATATCAAACACTAAAAAAAACTACGATTTTATTGGAGTGCTATAGCTGTCTATATCAAACACTAAAAAAACTACGATTTTATTGGAGTGCTATAGCTGTCTATATCAAACACTAAAAAAACTACGATTTTATTGGAGTGCTATAGCTGTCTAAATCAAACACTAAAAAAACTATTCCCCCCCCCCCAAAAGAAATTCATCATCATCCTTTCTTACTCTCTGAAGTTGGCAACCTACAAGAGCTCTCCATCTTCTTCTAGCCTGGGCTCAACCTCTGTCCAGCTGTATCACATCCTTTTAAAGTTTGAATATAAATCCCTCCTCAAAGTACTTTTAGGCCTTCCAACGCAGGAATTACAAGGAATGAACTAAAAAAATAAAGAAAACCATTTACTCACTTTTGTCCTTGGCTTTTGCTGTTCCTGCATCAGTGGAATTACTTCTTTTCTCTGCACCCGACTTCTGAGAATCTGAGCTCGACTTCCGCCTTTCCAACCGTTTGCTCCCATCTTTGTGCTTTTTCTTTGAAGAATCTTTGTCCTCTTTGCTGCTTTTCTCCGTTTTCCCAATATGTTGTTTCTCTCCAGACGAGACAGTGACAGAATCTGCCACAGTTTTTACCACAACAGGTGCAGCTGTCTCTTCCTCATTGTTTACTTCTTGAACCGCCGAAACTTCTTGTGATGCAGCAACGGGCAAGCGGCCCACCTCCACCTGACCCACGATGAGAAATTCCGTCCCACTCTCCTTCAGCTCAGAGTCTAGACTCTCCAAGATAGACGGTCGTTCTTGGGAAGTGGAAACAACCTCCTTTTTGGTTACCATCTGCTGCAGCTCCTGCATGTTCTCCGGCCACGTCTCCGTGAAATTCTCTGCGGAGGTCACTTCCTCCGTCTCCTCCAAGATCTGGTCAGGCAGGTTGACGTCCATGATGACCGATCCGCCCCCGTGCGAGACGCTCTCTATGTCCTCTTTCACGTGAACCTCGGAGGATCGGACCGTGCCTTGCGTCTTCTGTCCCTCTGACTCGCCCGTTCCCACAGGGGATGAGGGTTTGGAATACTGATGCTCCATCAATACCGGGTGCCAAGACTGACTCTTGCATGGAGATGAACTTGTACCTATGAGAAAAAAACTGTATAGGTTTAACGTCCTTTCAGCACGATATTATTATGGTTATTTAAAAGGCGGGACGTCCGAATTTAACATCTATCTCTGATAGAACCAAGTCGAATGGACGGGGAGCCTTAAAACCTACCCAAAACAACCAAAGTTCAGAATGCTTTGTTGGGGATTTATATCAGGGCCCTCCTCTAAATTGTCCAGCATGATACCAATTGAATATATGAGTTAATGGCGCACCCTTTGACAAACATGAACACAGCACAGCGTAAATGTTTTACATGGCCATAATAGGAGACTGGCAGCTTCCACCCTGCTTATCTGGGCCCACCTAGGCTGACAAGAACAAAGCAAGCTAGCAAACATGGAAATGCTTGATAAGAAAAATCTTCTCCCCCCCCCTAAAGTGATCTTTTATTCTATCGAACTTGCATAGGAGGGGTGTTTAAATTTCCTTTGAAATAAAGCCACTGCACAATACAGAAAAAAATGACAATATTCACATCAATACCAGCAAAAGTAGGTTGTTTGTGTGTGGGTTTTTTTGGTGGTTAATTTTTTATTTTTTTAATATTTTTTTTTTTTTGGAGGGGGGGGAAGTTCACACACATTTCCTGCTAAAACAATTTATAAAACAACGTGAATTCACTCATGTGAGACTGCAACCTGAGCAAAATTTATGAACCCTTGACTAAACCCAGAATTTGCAGACAAAGAACCAAAATAATCACCACCTACCCTGGGATTCTTGTGCCTTCTGCTCTTCCTCTTTCTTCTCTTCCTCTTTCTTCTCTTCCTCTTTCTTCTCCTCCTCTTTCTTTTGGTTGTCCCGAACAATCAACCCATCTGGCTTGAACAAATCGTTCATGGTCATGTCGACTGGAACATCATGGTCTGCCTTGTGGTGCTTGTGCTTCGCAGGTTTCCCGGGAGGCAGCAATGGCGGTGGACCCTCCTCACCGTTTCCATCTTTCTTTCCTCCGTCTCCTTTATCGTTATCAACCGAACTGACCCGCCGCTTATGCGAGCCACTCTCAGACTTTTTCCCACCTTCCGAAGACTTCCTGCGTTCACTTTGAGAATGGCTCCGATCCCTCGACTTCCCTTGATCACTTGACTTTCTCCTTTCTCCATCCTGAGCTTTCTTCTTCGCTGTGTCACCCACTTGTTTCTCAGGTTGCTTTGAATCTACTTTCTCTTTTCCCGCAGATTTGACCGTAATGTTCTTTTTTCCAAAAGGCTGGTGGCTTTTCTTCTTTACAATCATTCCCCTTTTCAATAAGTCATCAACACCTTTGGATGGGATTTTTTTAGCATCTTGAATAGATTTCTTTTGATTGTCTTTTGACTTTTCCTTGGGTTTTTCTGAAGTCCCCACTACTTTCTTCACCTGATCTGGACGTTTCTTCACCAGAATTTTCTTAACTACCCCATCTGGTCCAATAACTTTCTTCTGTACATAATCTGATGTGCTCATCACAACCACTTTTTTCTTCTTCAATTCACCTTTAATGTCTTTCTGTGCCGATTTTGCAATACCAGATTTCATTTTCACAGCAGAATCTTTAGATACTGCACTACTTTTGTTAACAACTTTTGTCTTATTTTTCTCTGAAGAATGACTAGACAAGCTTTTCACTTTACTCACACCTGAGTTTACATCTCCCACATGAGCACCCTTCTCTTGTTTAGGTTTTGTGACAAGCTTCTTCTCTGGCTTTACACTTTCCTTTTTAACACTTTGCTGACTGTCAGCAGACTTGGCATTCGTGGAGTTTTCCTTCTTTACTCCACTTTCTATTTTCACTTTCTTCTTTGAATCTCCTTCTTTTTCTGTCTCAGTCTTTATGGGAGATATAGATTCCTCTTCCATTTTCAACGCAGAGGGGTCAGGCTTTTTCAAAAACCCTGCCTTCGCAAGAATCTCAGCAGCAGTTCGTTTGATAAGCCCTGCATCAGGGGATGGAGGTCGTTTTCCTGCTCCTGCCTTTTTCGCCGACGTCTGGCAGAAAAATTGGGGGGAAAAAACAACAACACATTATACAGCTTCAGAGTAAAAGAAAAGTAAAATGCTTTTGTATACACTTATTCCTGTTCAAACAACCACTTGTCCAAGATAATCCCCTGTACAAACCATCACTTCCCATTTCCCCTTTAGTGTCTTTTGATATATATTACGCCATTGTCCAAAAGACCTCCTTGACCATGGGTGACAGTCTTGGAAAGGTTCAACTGTATTTAAAATTATAATTACAAGGACTCCCAAACATAGGTAGGTTAGAACCATTGAGTAAAAAACAAGAAAGCAAATGCAGAACTTCTTCATTACTGATCATTATTTTTATGTCGACTTGCACTGAACATGTCTGTTGTAGTAACAAAATTACAACTTAAAAACAACAAAAATTTGGAAAAAATTTCAAATCAACTCTCATGGCTTGGATTTCAACTGAAACATCTGTTTGAAAAGATATAGTCTATTCCTTCTTATAGCTTCCTTGTCTCGTGAGCTGTGTTTATCTGATAACCAAAGGACTTCCCCATAGATAAACATAATGCCAAATTTACTTCGAATTTCTTTTTTATACACTGTGGAGGCATTTTAAATGCACCCTCAGTTAAACATTTCTTCACTGCCTTAAAGTAAAAATATTTACATTCATCTCATAGTAAAAAATGTACATGCAAGAGAGTGATTGCACACGCAGATGTCTTAATTTACAGTAGTATGCGAGGATAAGATAGCATCTCCTAAGTGCTCCCCCTCACCCCCCAAGCTTTCCCCCAAAATCTGTCCATGACCAGTCTGCTCATTCTATAAAGATTCTACTTCTCTTTTTCGATCAACTACTCCATCACAAAAAAAAAAAAGTATTTGTGAACATACACGTCAGCGATACTGTAATTGAAAAAACACCACTGTGAACATGATTTTGAAAGCAGTGGAATGGCAGAAAACTTACAGCAAGTTTTTTGTCTCCAGCATTTGTCTGGCCCCCACCTCCAGCACCGCCCTTGATCTTCTGAATCGACTTCAGAACTTTCTTCGGACTAGGAGAGGAGTCAGAATCAGTCTCTTTCAGCTTCTTCATTAGATTTTTGGCCACTGGTGACACAGGCGTGGGAGCTGAGGTCGGCTTTTCTTGGGCTATCTGCGCCTTGAGCTTGGAGATCGGTGTGTCCTCATCTTCATCCGATGTGTCTTCCTCCTCCTCTGCATTCTCTCTCACTTTACTCGCCTTGGACTTTTTGCTTTTTACCACTGCCTTTGGGGTGACTTTCTTCCTCTTTTTGGCTGGTTTGGGTTTAGGGGAAGTTTCCTCTTCACTGTCATCTTCTTCACTATCCTCATTCTCCTCTTCCATTTTTTGCACCTTTTTCTTTGCTTTCCCCTTGTTTCCTTTAGGAGGAGTTTTTTTAGCAGCTACTTTGGGTTTTACTTTCACACCTGGCTTTGCCTTTTTGGGCTTCGACACTTCTTCCTCTTCCTCTTCTTCTTCTTCCTCATCTCCTTCTTCTTCTTCTTCTTCCTCCTCATCCTGCTCCTGCTTTGCTTTCCTCCCCTTTGGCTGTTTTCGCACTGCAACCTTTCTCTTCATTGGCTTCTTTTTGTCTGTATCCTCCTCCTCCTCATTTTCATCCCCTTCTCCTCCAGTTGGCTCCTCTTTGGTCTCAGCTTTTCCCTGTTTCTTTCCCTTGGCCGCTGCTGCTGTAGAAACTGCCAATGCTCTGTGGGAGATTGTTTTTTTTTTACATTAAAAAACGGCAGACCTCTTCATGAAATTTTAAAATGACAGAAGAGCAAGTCTGTAAGAGATAATGCAATAAATCCTCAAAAACGTAAGACCTTGACCTACATACATTCATCTAACCACAATGATCAGAGAAAACATTTCAATATCACATAACTTCAGGAGAACAAACCATTTCCAACCTTTAATCCTCATTATCAAAAGAAGTTTAAAAAATAGAAATCCTGGTCTTAGTTACTGAACTTGCATTTGATATGATATTTTCTTACAACCATATTCAACTTCAAAATCCTTGTATGTTATCAATCAGTTTACTCTAAAAAAATACATGAAGGCTGAATCAAGTTTCATTCAACTCACTACGTTATTTTAACAACTTCAAAAGCACCTTTACTGAAAAAAAAAACCCTCTACTTTTTCTCAATGACGAATTCTACACATTCATAATATGGACAGCTGTTAATTTTTTCCCCTTCACTACTTATTGGAAACCAAGACCCCCAACCCCTGAAAAAAATAAATGTAGAAAAGTCTTTACGGACAGAAGTTGGCTCAGAACAAACCAATACATAGAAAATCTCATTGTATGATGATAAAACATTCACATCATAGAAAACTTGCCAACATTCATGAGTTTAATGACTTTTACCTTGCCCTGTCTGACAAATCTTCATCTTTAATCTCCTTCTTTCTGCCTGTTGGGGTGTAATACTCAAAGTCGCTGCTAAAAGTGCTCTGTTTCTTTCTCGAGGATCTCCTTGACGGAGTTATCTCTTGCGTTGGGGCTGCGGTTGAGGTGGGGGCTGGAGTTCCATCCTGCAGCTTGGTCTCTGTATCGTTTCCTTCTCCCCCGGCCTCAGTTGTCACTGGCAAGTCAACTGCTTGTTGAGAAGCCATGTCTGGTGAAGATTTCTGCTCTGTGTAATCAGAAGAAAACATTTATATATTAAAAACAGATATTGTGTACACACTAAGCCGACAACATTTCAAACTCAATTGAGTTTAGGTTTAGAATTAAACAAGGGAAAAAGTTGTGGCAGTTGTCAATATCCAAAAGACTGAAAATGATAAAGATGGCCGATACTCTTCATAACCATTACCCATCCATACCTAACCCTGACAATAACCAGAACTCATTTGTGTCACAACACAGTGAAATCACGTGCTTGTCAATTTTTGAGGCACATCAGTAAATGGTTTTATCTTATTTAAGCTTGTTCCCTTGCCTTGCTTTTCATGAAAGATAAAAATGTTTAGAGGATATTCAATTGATATATGGCATGTTCATTCGCACTTGTTATTCGTGTGTTCTCAGGTACCTATGTTATTCGTGTGTTCATAGGTATGTCAATATATGTACATTGCCTCCCAGTTTTCATCAGTGTCAGAATCTTATTATTTCAATCTAATCTTCGAGACCCATTTCTCGCAAACCTAGAATCTAAAATTCTGATTTATTTTACTAAGTGACTATTTCTCCGAACGCTCAGGAAAATAAACTTGACCTTTATTTCTCTGAACAGTCTCTGTACTCTAGATTTTTTGGTTATTTGCGAGATTTAGGTGTCACCTTTTATTCATTCTGCGAGGACTGGGAAGAAGCATTTTTTGCATTGAATTCAATTTCTAAAGCTAGAGATTTTTTAAATGTCTGAATCAGAAACTTTAATTGTGGTAGTGGCGACATTCGCGGATTAAACTTCATTTCAAAATGCCTTCAAAAGGTACTGCGAGAAAACAAGACTGTTCAACTTTGGCAGTACCATAACCTATTTAAAATTTAGTCACCCCTAAAACAAAAACTAAAATCCTTCAAGTAACAAGAAAAGCAATCCCTCCACGCCCCCCCCCCCCCCTACCTTATATACACACACACACATTCACATGTACACACACACACAGCGTGTAGGCCACTCCATTCACAAATAACCAACAAATCTCGAGTACGGAAACCGTTCGGAGAAAAAGAGTTCTACATAAAAATGTATTTTCCCGAGCCTTCGGAGAAAAAGAGTTCTAAATAAAAGTTTATTTTCCCCGAGCCTTTCGAGAAAAAGAGTCGGCCTTTATTTTAACTACCAAGAGATGCACTTGTTACTTGTTGTTTTTATCAAAATTACCAATTGACACCGTTCAGATGTTTTTGCTGCACTGTCACAAACACATGCGACTGCACGCAGGGCGTAAACCGGGCAACAATTGGCTGAACCTGTCACCCATCAATACAAAAGGCCTAGGGCAGGGTACTCTTGGCGCTCTCGACGACATGACACCTCCCTGTCACTCTCACCACCCCCTCTCTCTCTCTCTCTTTTTCCCAAGGTAGGGTAACAAAATAAAAAGTCCCCAATTTGTAACATGTATTACTAAACTACATTACTAGATCTAGATTCTTCTTGTTCTATTTCTTCTTCTTCTTTTTGTTCTCCTCCTCCCCTAATTCTTCCTACTCCTCCTCCTCATCTCCCTGCTTCTTCTTCTTCTTCTTCTTCTCCTCCTCCCTCCCTCCTCCTCCTCCTTGTTTCTTCTTCTTCATGCTCCTCCTCCTCCTTCTTCATCTCCTCCTCCTCCTCCTCCTCATTCTTCTTCTTCTCCTCCACCTACACCTCGGATCCTCCTCTTTCTCCTCCTTCTTCCTTCATAAGCACTCAACACACTGTGAAAAGACGGTCAAAGGCGTGAGACCGAAACCAGGAATTCCCAGAGTACCAACAGGTTCAGCTAATCGTAGCCCGTTTACGCCCTGCGGATAGTCGCATGTGTCACAGACACTAGATCTAGTCTATCCACAATTTTCTCTCACTCTCATCATCATGCTTCCAGTTCCATTTTGCTAAGGCCTACTGTAACTTATAATTTTTTTTTCGATTCTAAATTGTCTTACAATAATGGCTACCTCTATTCTCACCCGGGGTGAGAATAGCGCAGGCGAGTCTTTTGGCTATTCTCACCCGGTGTGCGTTCACCGTTAGAGCCTATATCTAGACCAACCAATTTTGCATTCACCCTGAACCACAGAATTCTACACTGTGATAACAGAAAAATGGTAGAATTCTGTGCTGTGAACAAATGTTCCATAACTACTGTAGCCTAAAAAGCGTACAATTTTGTCTGTGGGCAGTGGAGAGAGAGAGAGAAAGAGAGAGAGAGAAAGAGAGAGAGAGAAAGAGAGAGAGAGAAGAGTAGCGCGAGAACTTCCGAGCAAAACAAAATGGCGACCCCCGTAGTTCGGCTCGATACGAAAAGTTAAATAGCCACATCATCTTTGTTGACGACCAAATTAGGCCTAATTTACTTAAATTTTGTGTTTTAACATCATTTTATTTTTTAACTTTGTTTTGGTCAATTTGATCGTCCACACTGATAGACAGTGGTGTTCAGAAAGAGAGAGAGAAGAGGGGAGGAGTACATCTTGCGAGAACTTCCGGGCAAAACAAAATGGCGACCCTCGTAGTTCAACTCGATTCGAAAAGTGAAATAGCTAGACTACTAGATAGATCTAGACTATAGAACTATTTGTGCTATGAAAGTGGCTATTCTCACCCGCCCGGAAGTTCTCGCAAGACCTACTCCTCCCCTCTTCTCTCTCTCTCTGTCTCTTTCTGAATACTGTCTATCGGTGTGGACGATCAAATTGACCAAAACAAAGTTAAAAAATGATGTTAAAACACAAAAGTAAATTAATTTGGTTGTCTACATAGATGCTACGGCTATTTAACTTTTCGAATCGAGCCGAACTACGCAGGTCGCCATTTTGTTTTGTTCTCTCTCTTTCTCTCTCTCACTCTCTCTCTCCACTGCCCACAGACAAAATTGTACGCTTTTAGTAGGCTACAAGTACAGTTGTAATTGTAATGGAACGTTTGTTCACAGCACAGAATTCTACAATTTTTCTGTTATCACAGTGTAGAATTCTGTGGGTGAACGCAAAATTTGTTGGCCTAGATCTAAGCTATAACGGTGAACACGCACCGGGTGAGAATAGCCAAAAGACTCGCCTGCACTATTCTCACACGGGGTGAGAATAGAAGTGGCCTTGTGCTATAACGTAATTTTTTCTTTGCTTTTATCCATTTGATCATCCACACCGATAGAAAGTATTCCGAAATTAGGAAAAACAGGTCTTGTTTCACACCGGGTGAGAATAGCCAATGGTGGCAAGTCTAGCCCCGGGTGAGAGGTCCATCTTATTTTTATTCTCATTCTGATGATTCTCACCCTGGGTGAGGATGATAGCCACTAATAATGCAACACGACTTGCAAGTACTCAGACTCATGGATACTTGAGAGAGCATGAGGCATGCTACAAATGGACTACGATTGTAGAACGCAACCAATTTCATCATCCACGGAAAATGAAGTGACATCGACTGCTGGTCTGCTGCAGAGTATCATCGTTACAAAGAGTGTAGTATTGCGTCTGATTTTGACTTGATGAGAGAAGGAAGAGTGCTAAAATCGTTTCCAAAGCGCTAATAATGCACCACTGTTTGCACATAAACACCATATGGAAAAACTCTTTAACAAAAATACCGATTGCCAAACCGACAGCGGTTTAAATGGCAACAAAATTAACTGTATACCTGAGTTTATAATTTAGTTCAAAACTTTCCACTTCATGTTCACTGGAACTTCCACCATGTTTGTTATATGTTGTCACGTGATCAAAATGCTGATTAGCATCGCTGTCTCGAAAATCTAACGAAACAATTTTCTACAAAATTAATAATTCTCGTGATTTCAATTTTTTAAAAATATATTATATATATATATATATATATATATATATATATATATATATATATATATATATATATATATATATATGTGTGTGTGTGTGTGTGTGTGTGTGTGTGTGTGTGTGTGTGTGTGTGTGTGTGTGTGTGTGTGTAATGAAAATACCCCACCCTCAGTTTCTATGAATAAAAAGGTACGGGGGCTCTCGTGGCCTAGAGGTTAAGGTGTTGGCCTCTCATTCAAAGGTCCCGGGTTCGGTTCCGGGTAGCGACCAAAAAATTTTCTTCTCTAAAATCGTCTCCTTTCACAATGTTCTGTTGTCTGCTTTCACCCCCTCACCTCCTTTGCCCTCTCCTCTGGGCTCCTGACTCTTTCTGCAGCCTTTCTACTGCTACTCCTTGGTTCCTCCTAACTGCTCTCTGGTAGGAAAGATCTACACCTAGCCTTCTCGGACAAGGGCGAAAAATCTCGGAGGGCCCGTGTGCAAGTTGCGCACGTTAAAGATCCTTTGGTGGTCTAAAATCGATAAAAGAGTAGGCTTCGGTGTAGTAGTACACCCGGGCAAAATTCAAAATTTCCTACCAACGAAAAAGTATTAGGTGTGTCCCGCGCTCTCATATGACCTTATGCAGTTGCGAGCGCCGTAAAACCCTATACTAAACAAACAACATAAAAAGGTACATTCAATATTGCATTAGCAGAAGATCCAGGCCTAGAGCCTATATAAGAAAATGGAACATATGTGAGGTCCTGATCGTGTGTGATGAATTTCGAATCTTTTCACTTCAAAGATAAATTCTAGTGTATATCACATAATATACTCCAACAGATAATCATTCTGACATATAACATAATGTACCTTAGTAGGAAAGTATATCAATAAAAGTAAAAGTGGTTTATGATATATATTTGCATGACAGTTAATTGGTATGCCTACTATAACTTTTCCTCCCTGACCATCGAAAAAAATTAGTAGTAGTATTAGCAGCAGCAGCAGCAGCAGCAGCAGTAGCGGTAGTAGTGGTGGTAGTAGTAGTGGTGGTAGTAGTAGTAGTGGTGGTAGTAGTAGTAGTACATGTAGTAGTAGTAGTACATGTAGTAGTAGTAGTACATGTAGTAGTAGTAGTACATGTAGTAGTAGTAGTAGTAGTACATGTAGTAGTAGTAGTAGTAGTACATGTAGTAGTAGTAGTAGTAGTAGTGTAGTAGTAGTAGTACATGTAGTAGTAGTAGTACATGTAGTAGTAGTAGTAGTACATGTAGTAGTAGTAGTACATGTAGTGGCAGTAGTAATAGTAGCAGCAGCAGTAGTAGTAGTAGTAGTAGTAGTAGTAGTAGTAGTAGTCAGGCGCGGTCGTGCAGTGCCGCCCAACTTTTTTTAATGCTCTATTACGGAAAGCACCCACTAACATGAAATAAAAGAAGTCAGAAACAAACACTAGTCAAATATAATATCAAAACAAGGTCCTCGCTGGGGCTGTAACTGTCATATCTGTGTCAAAAGCGCCCTAAAACATATAACTAAACGTAATAGAATATTAAACAGTGGCTATCTGACCTATAAATCGCTCTTTGGGATAACCCAAGCGATGACGACACTCATAGCGAGTTTGGCGGTAAATTAATATTAATAAGACGGCACATCTCAAATGTGCACCCATAAAACATAGTCCACAGCAGAAAGTCTAAAAATAAACGCGATAGCCTGTACACTATTCAATGCCCAAATTATGTGATCCCCGGAGCAATCCAGCGGAGTGCTCAAGTGAACAGTAATTGGTTCACTGTCTTGCCGCTATTTTAAGCGACTCTGTGACCGTGAACCTGGGGGAGGTGAACGTGACATATTTAAGTCACCGACCTATGAGTTGTGCCTTTCAATGCTTTTGTAGTGGAGTGGTGAAAGTTATTACTTGAGTGTTCAGTTCCGATGCAGGATGAACGAAATTGACGTTTAGCTAACAAACATAATATTTAGTTTCTAGAAATCAAAGCGAATGAAAATAAAAGCACTAAGTCCTCCCTCACCAACCCAACAATCCTAAAATTATACACCACCCCATTTACTATGCCCTTGAATAATATCTTCAGCCTAAGATAGCTTAATTGTGCACGCCCACTTTTAAGCCCCACAAGCCGTCCCTGGTGGTGGTGGTAGTAGTAGTAGTAGTAGTAGTAGTAGTAGTAGTAGTAGTAGTAGTAGTAGTACAATCTCCACCTAAGATCCCACCGCATGATGCCAGTTCGCCTATAATAAGATCCCTCTGTTTTAAGAAAAGTTTTACTAAACAAAATTTTAAGTTACCCCTGACATCCCGCTCTGAAGGTCTGCATTCGGCTACGTCTTGGCTAAGATCCCGCATTTTATATAGTTATTTACGGGGGGGGGGTCCAAAAAAATTAACCGGGCTGGCACCGCCCATCTGGATAAGGGTGACCATTTGCGATCATTGAAATGCCCGTTGCGTCTCAGATCAGCCACCCTCGTGAAAGTGATCACATGATATGCATTGTAAATCTTTGCCCCAGACGGGGTTAGGTGACACCGAGGTGTGAACTCGCGAAGCGTAGCCTAGTATGTTTTCCCCAATTATATCCTCTCTCATAATCTGAGCTCTCCACCTGAATAACTTACATCGCACATGGTGGTAGGGCCTACGTTAAGTTCGCTCAAGGCGCGATTACATCGACCTGTGAACATCCCTGACCATTACAGCAGTTAAGTCTCCCGAATTTGCGAGAATTAATTTTAATTGCTGTGATCACAACACAATGGTGTCGACAAAGGCTGGGAACTCGGTTAGAGATGGATTAAGCTAGATTAATTTTAGACAGATAAAAGGGAGGAGCAACTGGATAAGTCATGTTGGCTAGATCTAGATCTTGAGAAGCAGAACGTTATAACAAGTGTAATGACATGATGCCGCAGTACTTGGTCATCAAAGATTGACTACTCTTTGCTTGCCATTAGTCTTACACCCACCCGCCGGGGGGCAGAGGGGGGTGGGGGGGCACATCAGTCCATTTTAGAATAAAAGAAATCATCAACGCGGTTGCACGTGAGTCTGAACAGGATTCCCCGTGGATTCTTACCTTGGTACGTCGGCTAAGACCCCGTTCGCCTAAGATCCCGCATTTGGCTTGTTCCCAAGCACCGGGATCTTAGGCGGAGACAACTGTGATGTAGTAGGCCTGGTAGTGGTAGTAGTAGTAGTAGTAGCAGTAGTAGTAGTAGTAGTAGTAGTAGTAGTAGTAGAAGCAGCAGC